GCGATCCACCCGCAGTCCTCCATGTTTTGAGTTAAAAGATGTAATTATAATTATGTTACAATAAAATCAGCTGTTTGCAATGAATCGAAACGAATGAATCGACCTGAAAACGAGCAACACGCCGCTGGACTCCAACTCGCAACCAACTGATCCAGACGAGTCAGCAGTACCTTCAATCGTCTCAGTATTGATCGCTTTAAGTTTGTGCTCCGCCTGCCGGATGTGATCGGCTGTTATTGATTCAGGCGGATTCAGTTGTTTGCTAGCTGTGCTCTGATTGGACGGAAAGGACGTTTGGCCAAGTAAAGCCCGGCGATCCGCCACGCCCACAGAAACCGGAGACCGCATCACTGCCTCCAACCAATCAGCTGCAGCGGCTCGTTAACATGTCACTGAAAACCCGGGTCGGGCAGAACCCGGGATGCCGCCGCCACGTTGCCGCCGTCCACCCGAGCGCTGAACTCACCGGTGAAAGCAGGACTGAACGGCACCGGGGAGAAGGAACCATGAGGCCTGGAGCCCTGCAGCCTGCAGACAGAACAAACATGATGAGAACTGGACCGGACCGGACCGAGCCGTCGCCCCGACGACGGGACCGAGCCGTCGCCCCGACGACGGGTCGCCATCTTGGAAATCTCCATGGTTACTTTAACCTTTAACCCCCCTGGTGGGAACCCCAAACTGTCGCCATGGAGACAAGCTTTCTGTGAGAGAAGGATGCTGTCGCCATGGCAACTTCCCATCCCTCTCTGCTGAGCAGGGAGACTGCTGGTCGCCATGGCAACAGCTGCAGGGGAAAGTTGCGCGGGAGCCGAATGAAGTCGGGTCGGATCTGAGGTGGTTCTGATGAACAGAACCTTGGACCGGGCTCTGTTACTAAGCAGAACCAGCAGAACCTCCAGGCCCGGTCTGCAGCACCTGCTGCAGTTTCTGGAGGTTGCAGCCGGACTCCCTGAAGGTCCAGAACCAGAACCGGCCCGGTTCTCTGTAACGAGGCGAACTCCGGTCTGTCACAGCTACGGTTCTCCAGGTTTAACGACCCAAACGGACCCGAGTTGGTTCAGAACTGCAGCTCAGATGACTGAAACAAAAAGCTGTTTAGAAAGAACTCCAGTCATCAAAAACACTGTGGAAACTAAAGGACTTTGACTAGACCACTGCAGTAATCCTGCTACGGCCGCTGGTTGGGCCGAGTTCAGTCCACCAGAACCGGCCTGGTTCTGTATGGAAAAGTGTTCAGTTACTATCGTTTGGAGCGGGCGTCACGATTTGGAAATAAACCCAGTTGATCCGTTTTTCTGTTGCTGCTGAAGAGCAACATCCATCCTGGCGGGGCAGAGCAAAGCCTGGCGGGGCAGAGCAAAGCCTGGCGGGGCAGAGCAAAGCCTGGGGGCAGAGCAAAGCCTGGCGGGGCAGAGCAAAGCCTGGCGGGGCAGAGCAAAGCCTGGCGGGGCAGAGCAAAGCCTGGTGGCCGCCAGGCTGATGAAACACCAGGACAAACCGGCCGCTGGGTCCCGGTCCCAGATTGGACTGGGACTGAACTACTGGACTCAACCGGTCCCAGTGAGGACGGCTGGACTCGGATATCAGAATCCACCCCAGTTCATCACCGTTCCACCGCCGTGCTTCACAGCTCGTCTCTCCTTCTTCCAAGAAGCCGGACCGGTTCAGTGCCCTGACCTTTAACCTTTAACCTGTTACTCGAGGAACGTTAACCAGTGTTGTATAGTAACGAAGTAAAAATACTTAACTACTTCAGTATATTTTGGAGTACTTCATACTTTCCTCGAGTATGAAAATGTTTGATAACTTTCACTTTACTTCACTACATTTCCGAACTTAATTTCATACTTTTACTCCGATACATTTTCAATGTGTGGTTTAGTTACTCGTTACAAAAAAAACGAGAGAGAAACGCAAATGTTTTGATCAACCTACTGATCAACTGCAACAAAGCCTGTTAGCCTGGGCTTGTTCATCTCCACCAATAGGATGCACAGGTTTCTCCTCCCCACCTACATCAAAAAGTCCAGTCTGATTGGTTAGTTCTCCGTTTGCGTAGGTTTGTGCCGTTAAAATGTTCGTTTGTGCAGCTTTGGTTTCCGAGATATTAAAATGATTTTTTAGGCCATCCAGAGTTACCATCCCCGCAGTTTGCTCCAAAACAAACCAAAGTGGGCTGGTTCATTTTGCAGGTTTGTGCCGTTAAAACAAACGCAGCAAAGTTATTTTCAGTTTGGATTTTGGCGATTCCAATATCCGGTGTGAGCGGCGTCTAGCTCGAGGTTGATCCGATTCACGAACGCTAATTTGGGCCAGCCGGTCTCTGGGTCTCCTCCTTCCTCAAGGTGTCGGAGTTTCACTCAGGGAGAGTCAACAAATTTTACATCCAAACTCTCCTGAGAAACTAATGGAAATAGATTTCTTGCCTTGTGACAAACTGACACTAAATTCATGACACATTCCTAGAAATTGTAATCTTAAAAAATATATATATTTGGATGACCTAAAAAATTATTTTAAATATCTCGGAAACCAAAGCTGCACAAACAAAAATTTTAATAGCACAAACGGAGCACAAACCAATCAGACTATTTGCTGGATTATTTGAGTAGATGGGGTTCAGCTTCATGGAGGTCTGTTTCCTTCTCCCATTAAACACCAAGTTAACTAAAATCTCTCCTCTTCAGATGCCAATAAGCTGCATTTCCCTCCCAATTCTTTTTCTTTTGCATAATGACCAGTTGTTGCACCTATAGTGTGTGAAGTAGAGGAATCCTAACGGCTTTTTCTCTTCATGTTGGCCACATTTTCTGTACTGACTATTTATTTTTCTCATTTTCAGCACTGACCTTACTGAAAGGGAAAACTTGAGGCTTATAGAAACTTTGTATTTTCTGTCTTGGAGGGTTTACTAAGAAGCTGGTTCAGTTGGAAAGCAGGTTAAGTTAACTTAAAGCAGGTTAAGTTAACTTAAAGCAGGTTAAGTTAACTTAAAGCAGGTTAAGTTAATCTAAAGCAGGTTAAGTTAACTTAAAGCAGGTTAAGTTAATCTAAAGGAGGTTAAGTTAACTTAAAGCAGGTTAAGTTAATCTAAAGCAGGTTAAGTTAACTTAAAGCAGGTTAAGTTAATCTAAAGGAGGTTAAGTTAACTTAAAGCAGGTTAAGTTAATCTAAAGCAGGTTAAGTTAACTTAAAGCAGGTTAAGTTAATCTAAAGGAGGTTAAGTTAACTTAAAGCAGGTTAAGTTAATCTAAAGCAGGTTAAGTTAACTTAAAGCAGGTTAAGTTAATCTAAAGGAGGTTAAGTTAACTTAAAGCAGGTTAAGTTAATCTAAAGCAGGTTAAGTTAATCTAAAGGAGGTTAAGTTAACTTAAAGCAGGTTAAGTTAATCTAAAGCAGGTTAAGTTAACTTAAAGCAGGTTAAGTTAATCTAAAGGAGGTTAAGTTAACTTAAAGCAGGTTAAGTTAATCTAAAGCAGGTTAAGTTAATCTAAAGCAGGTTAAGTTAACTTAAAGCAGGTTAAGTTAATCTAAAGGAGGTTAAGTTAACTTAAAGCAGGTTAAGTTAATCTAAAGCAGGTTAAGTTAACTTAAAGCAGGTTAAGTTAATCTAAAGCAGGTTAAGTTAACTTAAAGCAGGTTAAGTTAACTTAAAGCAGGTTAAGTTAATCTAAAGGAGGTTAAGTTAACTTAAAGCAGGTTAAGTTAATCTAAAGCAGGTTAAGTTAACCTTGTAGGTAAAGCATCTAATGTTCTTAACTAAATGATGCTGCAGGTTTATCTATTAGCAGGTTTCATTTTGCCTGCACTTGGTTGTGTATTTTAAGTGTATTTAACAAGTTTACCAAAATATAAAAAATGTCATTCAAACTGCATTTGCCTTGTTTTACTTTTTACTTTTCATTACATTACTTGAGTTCATCCATTGTTACAGTAATTTCCAGACTTAAGTACAAGACGTTTTAGATACTTTAAGACTTTAACTCAAGTAACATTTCAATCAGTGACTTTACTTTTACCAAAGTCATATTTTGGAGAAGTTCCTGTACTTTTACTGGACTCTGAGATTTCAGGACTTTGACACTGAAAGGCGATTTGTTTGGAGACATCAGATCGGCTGCTGTCGTCATGGTGACAGAGGGGTCTTACCTGTCCTGGTCGGTGCTGCTGCAGGTGGACCCCCACACGTCCAGCAGGCTCCCCCCCGACGAGGTGGAGGACGCCAGCGACGGCCGCTTGTCCAGCAGGCCGCCCGACCCGCCGCTGGAGCTCTTGGTTCTGAACAGCTTGCTGAGCCGGACCTTCAGGGACCCCCCCTTCCTGGACTTCCTCCGCGGCGTCCTATCGCCTCCCCCCTCCAGGACCGTCAGAGGGGAGGAGGTCCCCCCGGAGCCACCCGCCGCCACCCCGAGCTTCGGGGTGGCGGCGCGGCTCTGCGGCTGGGACCTGGACTGGTGCCGGTGCCGCGGGCCCGGGTCAGGGGGGGCGGCACGGGTGGCCGGGGGGCTCTGTGGCGCCGCGGGGTGGGGGGCGGCGCGGCAGGTCGGCTCGGTGCAGACGCCCGCCTCCTCGGCCAGTCTGTGGACCTGTCGCATCAGGCCGCTCAGCGTTCCGGCGCCGAACACGGTTCCGGCTCCCCCTGGCGGGCCCCCGGCGCCGCCCTTCCCGGCCTCCTCCTCGCCGTTTCGGCCCCCCCCCTGCGCCAGCTCGCCGACCTGCTCGGACCCCAGGCCTTCCAGAACCAGCAGAGCGTCGCTGGTGTCGCTGGGGTCGTCTCCGGGGGCGACCGGACCCGCCGCCAGGATGCTGTGACAGGGGCAGCGAGGGGGAGGAGGCACCCCGTCTCCTCCCCCCACTCCCTCCCTGCCCTCGCCCAGCTGACCCAGCTTCTGGGCCAGCACCAGAACCGGGTCGTCGGCCCCGGACGGGCAGGTTCTCCTGAGCTCCAGCAGGCCCAGGCGCAGGGCCTGGTCCAGCAGACCCGGGGGCCACTTGGCCATCTGGTGTCGGTGGCACAGGATGGAGATGGACTCCGGATCCAGGGCCGGGACCGGCTGGAGGTTCTGAGGCCCGTCGGGCCCTTTGGACAGTCTGACCACCGGGTGCCACTGCAGGTTGTCCTCTGGGGACGGGACGCAGCCAGAGTTCTGCTCTTTCCCGCCTCCAGAACCAGCTGTGCTGGCAGAACCCGAACCTGGACCGGGCTCCAGCTTCTGTCTCTCCGGTTCCTCCTGCAGGAACCCAACTGGCGGCGGCTGCTCCAATCCGGACCGCAGCAGGTTCTGTAACACCATCAGCTGCGCCCTGGATCCGTGTCCGCCCGAACCGTCGACGAACCGCTGCGCCGCTGCGGCAAAGTCCTCAGGCGGCGGGGACCGCGGCGCCTCGGAGCTCGGCGGGCCCTGCGACAAGCCCAGCCCGCCGTCCAGCTCTCCCTTCCCGGGGAGCGGCGAACTGTAGTGCGGGGATGCGGATCCGAGGCCTGCTGACGGGCCGCTGGAGTCCACATCGAACCCGCCGCCGCGGCGTCCCAGCGCGGCTTTCACCGCTCCGAACCCGCCGCCTCCGGACCGGATCAGGTCGTCGGGCTCGTCCAGCCGGTCGTACTCCGCGGCGGAGACGAGCCGCATCAGGACGAAGTCCGGAGACATTTCTTGCTGCGCGTCATTCATGGCGGCGGGCTAACGTTAGCGGCTCCGCTCTTACATAACAGCTGCTGCATCTCCGCGCCGAGCGCCGGGCCGCTCCGGGCGGCGCGCACCTGCGGTCCGGACCGGGCGGGACCGGGCGGGACCGGGCGGGCGGGACGGGAGGCTCCACGGGACCAGCACGGAACGACAAGGGGGAGAAACCCGCCGCTTAGCCGCTAGCCTCCAACCGAGTCATCCTCCAGCGAGACAACGGGACGTGAGGAGAGGAGGGCGGGGAGCCGAGCTGCGCAGGCGGCTTCGCTGATCGATCAGAGCCGATCGATCAGAACCGATCGATCAGCGGGGCTGGAGATCCGATCAGCTGTTATTATTGTCAATGAACAATTGAACAAGAACTTACTTTGGTTTTTAAATAGGTTTCCAACATTATTTAAAATATTAGGTCATTTATATCATGTATTTCTGAGCAGAAGGAAATTAGATTTCATTTATTTTTTCAATGTCATTTTTAGTCACTTATTTTGTCTTTTCTTGCTTGTTTCTTTGACAGAAGTTAAACTGTCTTTATTGACGGAGGACATAAATCATTTCCCAGTAAACACAGTTCTACTGGAAAACATGAATCCAGATCCATTTGGATCCTCCAGGATCTTTCACCAGATTTTTATCAGTTTTTCTGTTTAGTTCATTTAGTGCATTTGTGATGTAACAAACTCTAAACCAGTGGAGCCTTAGTGGCCCCTGAGGGCCCATCCTGCATGTTTTAGTGTCTCCCTGGTTGAAGGCAGAACCCTGACCTGCTGAAAGGTTCTTGGTACCAGAGAGACTAAAACGTGCAGGCAGCCGATGTTCTGACGATCTGCGCTACCTCGTCAGATTGTCCTACCGTAGCACGGATCGATAGCTATCTGTCCATGCTACCCGTCTAAAACTGCTGCCGCCATGTTTACAAACAGCAGCGGCTTATTAATGTTCAATATATTGGATTATTTGAGTGACTGAAGTGGAAGCTTAGCAGTTCTGGTTAGCTTAGCATTGGATAATTTATATCATGATGAAACCAGAAGATCTGAATATTCTAGCGTTAAAAATGAAAAGTTGCAGATGCAGCGCAACTGCAACTTTTCTAGAATATCACAATATCACTACCAACATATATTAAGTGAGGCCTATAAAGAGTTTTATTGAACAAAAATATTTTAAAGTATAGGGACAAAAAAGCCACAAAACAACATATTTTGTACTGATAAACTGCCAAATAATAACTTGTTTACAGTGATGACATTGCAGATGGCAAACTAAAGCCATTTATAAATATATTTATAAACTGCCTGTCATGTAAACTAGAAACATACAGCAGGTTAATGAAAGCCAGCTATAAATTAATTAAGCTTACTGTAATCTGTAATGAAATAAAACACATGAAACGAAACTTCCACAGGTAGGATGGATTGACAGGTAGCACAGATAAACAGGACATCGGTCCTCCAGGACCGACTTTTGGCTCTCCTGCTCTAAATTATGACTGAAATGGAGTTCCATACATGACAGAACCTCCACCATGTTTTACTGAAGGACGTAGGTTTTGTTGGAAGATAGCCTGTAGCAGTCTGTATTACAGTGAATTTGAAGAAACCTCTGACTGAAGACACAGTTTTCACACCAGGTGAGATGATCCATTGAAAGGATTCATGGATTCCAAACCATTTTCAGATTCTGCACATAAGGAGACATTGTTATGCCTGAGTAATTGTGTTGTGTTACTTTTATCCAAATAAATAGTCAATCATGCAAAGCTTTATGAGATTTCAGCTGACATATCTTTAGGTATCAATTATATGGATATTATACAATCTTATTTCTAAAATCTCCTTTCTCTCTGTGTTATCCTTGGGATGTTTATATTTCTGATTTTCAAGGACTTTGGAGGCAGATCAAATCAGATTGCCTGTCAGTCCAAAAGCGAATAAAAACAATTGTAATTTAAATCAACGGATCGCTGCGAGCAGGGTTCGAACCTGCGCGGGGAAACCCCATTGGATTTCAAATCCAACGCCTTAACCACTCGGCCATCACAGCTACTTCCGTTCCCCGCCCTCACCTGGTCACATTCACTGTGTAATGTGAGAATGCCTCCGGCAGAGGGAGCCAAATCTCCGTCTCTGACAGACCAGATATACAGATGACGGGGATGAGACTTCAAGCGTTACATCAGTTCATAATTGTTAACGGCCCAACCGGAAAGCGCCTGAAAGTCTCACGTTTTGGTCTGAGATTTCGAGCGCTTTTTAACCGGAAGGTAAAATCTTTGACATGATGAATTAAGATTGGTTTGTCCTCTCCTCCACGCCACAAGGAGGCATCAGCGAGCTCACCGTTGGCTTGTTGTGCCAAAACTATCGCTGTGCTAAAGAACTATTGCTGGAGTTTGATAATAGTGTTAATATGCAGCTAAACTTGAATGAATGAGTTTATTATAAAATAACCTTTGACCCCTAATTAATTTGATAGCTAAATAGCATTTAATTTAAATTCTGTTGTGCATCTAATGAAGTGTACGGAAATCCATTTCTGCCACTTTGATGACAAATAACTGCTTTAGTGACCTCATTAAAGCTTATTTTCTTATCATAGTATATGAGGTAGTATTGAATAATATTGATACATATTATCTCATAGTATCTTAGTTACAACAGCCAACAAAATCACTTATGTGACGCACTTTCTGTAATAATATATTGTAATGAGTTTAAGAGGCAGTATTTCATGTAGTATCCAGAGACCAGCCCAATTATTAAACTCAAACATAAATTATTAATGTTAAATATGTCCATCCTAAATACTTATTCTGTAATTTCTTGTTATTCCGTGTATTTTTCAAAAATATTTCCAATTCAACACAAGAGTTGCTTTACAATGTCGCTTTTTCCAAAAGTGCAAGTCATACATTCAGTGTAATTGTGTTCAGTCAAATATCAATCAGAGAAAATGTATTTTGTGGTATAATAACTTGCCATAAACAGCCTAAAGACCCAAACCAGAAAGAGAAAAAAAGAGAAATCAGGCCCAGTGGGAAATGTGCTGGTTCTCCTGATTAACCAATCCAGGCCTGACAGTCTCATTAGAAAATGTTGTGATTAGATCATATTTCATAATACTCATAGCTATACTGAGTATTTAACCTCATTGTGATGGGACACCAGTCTGGATTCAGTGTTCTTGGATGTGGACTGACCTGCAGGCCAGCAAGTAAATGAAAAAGCTGCAGAGTTCTCCTGTAGTTTCTGTCCGGGACCGTTTTGGTCCAACTGGAACCCAGAAGCTGAGCGGGTTCCTTACCTCTGCAGCTGCTCTCAGAGCAGACTTCAGCACCAGAACAGGCAGCAGGAGGTTCAGTACAATATAGACTTTATTAGTTCACTAAATTTTAATATGAAATAAAAAGCAGATTGGCTTTAAATCATTCACAATTCAGTAATCGAGTTTCCAGGATCATCATATCAACACAGGAAGTCCATCCTGCCAGCAGCGGCTGCAGGTTTACAAAATAAGAGCCGGAAAGCGATGCTGACGGTCGCTTTCCGGGAGGGCGCCTCAAGCCATGAAGTTACAAAAAAACCCAAAAACAAAACAAAAACGAAAGAAATCATGGTTGTTTGTGGCGTTGAGTAAACAGACCGACAGCAGGAGGCGCCAGAGTTCATCTTCCAATCAGAGTCCAGAACGATCAAGTCCAGAAGAGCGAAATCACCAGAACTGCTCGGGGAATGTTTCATAGCATTTTATTGTTTTTAACTTTATTTTCTCATCATAGCAATGGAAAAATAGAACCTTTTACAAACGTCTTCAATTTTCTGAAATCTTTGAAACAAGCAAAAACCGGTGAGTGACCCGACCCCGACCCAGTGCAGCGGGGCAATCAACGTGAAGCAGCACGCAGCACGCGCTTCCAGGCCTGCAGCTAAAACTATTCCCATTTGGCACTCGCTCCGCAGCACCGGGCTTTTACTCTGAAGGGCTCCAGTGCTGCCGTCGCCAGGTAAGAGCGCGGAACGCCGGAGTGGGCGGAGCCATTCGGCCCGGGTCGCCGTTTTAGTGCTCAGAAGAAGAAAAATAAGAGCAACAAAAATCTAAAGTTTTCCACAGAAGAAGTCCACAAAGTCGCTCGTTAATCTGATTCCACAAAAGTTTCTCCCTCCCCCCCTCCCCCAGCGTGGGGGCGGTGGCGGGTCTGTGACGTCATCATGATGTCATTCGAGGGGCCAGCTACACGGCGAGAGGGCGAAGGAGGGGTTTGTTTCTATAAGGGGAGGAGTCAGAGTCCAGTCCACAGGCCGTCCAGGAGGAGGAGGGGGGGGGGGGGGGATCGCCAGCTGGAACTGAACTGAAGGTGGTGTGATGTCATCATCTCTCGCGCTCACACAGACACTCATCTCACTTCATCTCACGTCACTTCCTCTGCTGCAGCCAGCGCTGCTACAGACGAGTTCATTCCAGACGAGTCACTGACCTCACGTCGCTCCAAGTCCGGCCGCAGCAATCTGAGGGGAGAGAGGAGAGCAGAGCCAATCAGGAGACAGGAGAGCAGAGCCAATCAGGAGACAGGAGAGCAGAGCCAATCAGGAGACAGGAGAGCAGAGCCCAACAGGAGACAGGAGAGCAGAGCCAATCAGGAGACAGGAGAGCAGAGCCAATCAGGAGACAGGAGAGCAGAGCCAATCAGGAGACAGGAGAGCAGAGCCAATCAGGAGACAGGAGAGCAGAGCCAATCAGGAGACAGGAGAGCAGAGCCAATCAGGAGAGATGTCCAACATGTCTGGACATGTTGCGTTTTGCTGCACTGCATCATGGGCCTTGTAGTGTTGAAGACCAGAATTTCTCAACAAGACGGAGAAATTATTAGAGAAATTTGGATGCAACTAAATGTTCGAACATCTGGACTCGACCAGAACTTCAGGCACAAAGACAAGTTCTGAAACTTTTTAACATTGGTTCAGGATGCAGTAGAAAGCTTGAAGTTCAGCTGCAGAGACGGAACCAACAGGAGCGGCAAACATCCAGCATAACAACGATCTGCAATAAAACAGCTGGAAGTGGTTCTGATCCGGTTATTCACTAACCAGCGCTGCGGAGGGCTGCTGCTGGAGACGGGAAGGACAAGAATTGCATATACAAATAGATGCAATTTTTTGTTCCCACATTCATTTATGATACAAATTTAATTTCCTCATTAATTGTTCATTTTGGCAGGCTCAGGCCTCCATACATTGCTGCTAACTGAACTCTGA